TACAATAAACAACTATAAAAAGCCGGAGTAAATATAAAAAGATATTAAATATATTACCAGGACAAGTGACAAAGTGACCAATATAAACTGAAGTAATGTTTCTAGCAGTATTACAAAAAGTAATCTGGGGTAAATCTATATGATACTTGAAATCAGTAGTTAGGGATAACAAAATTATTAAAGTATAAACTACACATTGAAACACATAAAAAGTCCAATTCATAACAATTCAAAAAGCAACCAACAGTACTTTCCTGTATTAATATTCTCCTTTGACCAAAAAAAAATTCAAATAATTTTTGAAAATTATAATCCTCACACTAGATACTGAAACGTTAACAATCTTTTATACATTTTCAGTGGAACGTTTAATAAAACAATGGGCCCCCGTAGTATGGTTGGCTCCAGAAGAGAAATTTATGCCCCTTGGTGTGGAAGAATTTTTAGCACATGTCCATCCTGAAAGTAAAGACAATTCTTTCACGCCTGGAATGCCATTCGGAGATAATTCTGAAAAATCATTCTTAGTTACAAACACAGAAATAGGTAAGAGATATATATACTAGTGAATAATAAATAATAGATATATTCGAAACTAAAAACGATTTTAAAATGGACAAAGGTTCCCATTTAAAATTAATTCATTTAACAAACACTTTGGCTACTTTAAAATAGATATTTATATACAAAATAAAAGGGATACATTTTAAGCAAGAAATAAAATTATTTTATTTTTTGTTTATCAATTTTATGTATTAAATCATTAATCAGGGTTGTTGTGGAATCTGATTGAGGTCAGAATCAGAATTGAAATCGACAAAAAGTTGTTGTTGGTGTCACAGAAGCAGATGTTATCGGTTTTATGTTCGAATCGGAATTATTGTCAGAATTTCGTGTCACAGAATCTGTTTTTATCGATTTTTTGTCAGAAATAATCTGATCAGTTGGCAGGTGTCAGATTTGTATTTTGTTTGTTTTGTTTTATATAGTTAAATGGAATTGAAACAGAATGTTAAATTATTTTTTATAAATATACAAGACAAAGATGTTCTTTTTTATAACACAAATAGCTGAAAACAGGAATAGCTCGGGTTTTGCTAGTTTATTATATTTTGCAAAACATCTGATTCGAATATGGGTTTTGTTAATTTTCGAATGAAAGGAAAATCAAGTCGATTTCATGACTCCAATTCAAATCAGAATCGATTTTTAATTCTGATAAATGACAGTTCTGACTTGGATTCTGCAACAATCCTGAATATTTCCTTTTGATTGCGAATAATGGCAGTCATTTATTAGTTTGCTAGTAAATTCCTTTAATTTTTAAATCGTATTGTAACAAATACTAATTCAAACGATAAAATATTCAATTATATAATTAATAATATATGTATGTGTAGATAAACTGTTAGAGAATGAAACATCATTTATACATGGACGAAATCCTAATATAACTCCCGTGCCTATATACGCTGTGGTGACATTATGTAATCAAGATAAAATTGATCCTGCAAAACAGCAACCAATAGAAATTTTGCCATCTGTACAGTCAATGCTCTCAATACCATCGTCTTTTCAAGCTAATTATTCGCCACAATTATCAGTACCTGTTCTGCAGCATGGTTTTGTGCCAACATCTTTGGAATTAACGAAACCGACTAGAGGACCCTATATTCCAATTACTTTGGGACCCCAAAATGACGGTGAAAAGGCTATAAGGCGTTCTTCACGGTTTTATCCCATGTTCCATAAAGCTAAACGCAGTTTATCAAATACTCCTATTACACCATCAGATTCTGTACCACCATATGAATTGGTAATGAGAGAATCTGTGCAGAATATTCCTGTCGAGCGAAAAATTCCAATCCCTACCTCGAGTCCTATCAAGTCAGATGTGGAAGAATCCGAAAAAATCAATAATTTTATAGCAAATTTAGCTGATAATGTTAAATTTAGTATACCACTAAATGAACAGGAAAATGTACTGGAAAATGAAAATGGTCAACAAATGAATGGATTTGGTAACACTCCAGGCACAATCGTTCCTTCATTTCATGTAACCTATTGGATGTTTTATCCATACAGTCAGGGTAAAAATATGTGCACCTTAAGCTTAGGTCCTTTTGGCCGTATACCATTTCCAGCTGTATATGGATATTGTTTAGGACGAAAAAAAGATATTGGTAGCCATATAGGAGATTGGGAACACATGACTTTATATTTCACTGGATCTGCTGAGCCTGAAGCAATGTATGTTTCGGCCCATGATGCTGGAGCCTATTATGCCTACAATCGCTTGACAGGGTCCTTTGAATTTAAAAGACAAGAGACGCGCAAGGGAATTTTACAGAGGCCTAATTTTCCAAAAACAGTAACTACGTTTAACGATCATCCAGTGCTATTTGCAGCTAAAGTATGTATTCTAATTTTGACACATGCATCATTTTATCGTTTTTGTACAAATTATTACTTTAACGATTTGATTTTTTTAGGGTTCTCATGGTTTATGGACAGCGCCAGGTAAACATCGTTTTGTTAAAGTTGCGAGATTGTATGATATTAATGGTTTTGGTACACCGTGGAATACGTGGAAACATGTTGAAATAACATATGAAAACTTAAAATCATACGGTAATTATTCTATAATAATATTTTGATAAACCTTAAACCTTTAAAAATATTTTCGTTTCAGGTCGCGCTTTGACACCTTCGTGGCTATCGTTTAAGGGTAAATGGGGAAATCCCAAAAGTAAATGTCATCCTTTAAGACGAATTGGTCTAAATTTTTGTGAATTTTCGGATGGGCCCACTGGTATTCCACTTAAGGAGCCACATTTTCAATGTGGTGCTACATATAGGCGTCGATAGAGAATGACAATTTTACATGATTTAGACAACACACATTATGCAGTATTCTATGTTTATTATTTTATGGTGGTAATACATACATATTTATTTTAGAAACATTTTGTTATATAAAGTTAAATAATTGATTTATATCCTGTTTATATTATTTTATCAATCGAATCGTTCATTTCAAATCAAAAAATGTTCCTTCAAAATATCTGTATAATAATATACATATATCATGATTTAAAATATTATATCAAGATATATAGTATGTATATGTATGTAGTATTACTGCATATTCCCATGACTTAGAGATTTTAGAAATTGGAACATTACTTCGAATTTTGGAACATAATATTTTTGATCGTGTGTCAATGAAAACTTTCAATTTAGTCAGGATTACCTATTACACTATAAGTATGTGAAAATGACACAGAAAAACGCCGATACACGTAAACTTAATTTTGGGTATTAGAATTTAGTGGGATACAACGTTTTCAAAAGTTAGGTCAAAATAAGGAGAGGAAGTTTTCAAAAGTTTAAATTTTACTTACAGTGTTATTATTGCATATATTAGCGTAGGTATAATTGTATTTTTATTAGAAGTACTACATTCAATTCTAATGCTGACATCTATAACAAGTGATAGCCCGGTATGTGATGGAACTCAACCGATTTTTGGTTGATTTGATTCAGAAAATATTTTAAGAGCTTAAACAATTTTTCGAAAATTGCTTTGAATTTTCGAATTTTATTTCGATTTTTTCCAACATAATCATACAATTTGTTTTAAATTTTTTGAATTTCTCTCACTTACTTTATATATTTTTGAGAATATTCTTTATTTTTCTCTTCTTTTACTACTTTTGCTTGAAATGTATTCTAACATTGTATTGTCAAATGAGTACTAATGGGCTACGGGAACTGGTTAAAAAATGACACCATTGAAATCACAATGAGTAAAACAAAAATTCAAAACATTATGCTAAACAGCAACGAGTTGCTGCAACATAGTGGAGTACTCGTTGTAGGTAGGGAGTGCGTTAGTCATTTATTGCATTAATAAATACCAATTTTTATCTACTCCAAAATCCGATTTAAAAAAATGTATGGTTTTGATTTTAAATTTGTTATACAAACAACAATTTAAATATTGTGTGTTTCGTCGACGTTAGTAGCGTAATCCACTATTATATCCGAGGCATTAGTAAGGTTCTTATAGGCGCACAGTGTCAGATTTTGCAAATTTACCCAGCAAAAAATAATTGATGTCATACTTTACAAACTACATCTTAATCACATCTTAAAATGCGATTTCATATTTTTCACTTTTATAAACCAAATATTTCCTTACAAATGAAACCCCAGTTAAAAGTGAGGAAAGAGATGTGGAAAAGTCATTACAAATAACATATTTGAAGTACATCAAGATTTCGTGAAAGAGTAGTGAAATTTACATAAGCGTGTCATTAAGAGAATGTGTTTTATTTTTGACATCCAAATATCGGATTTTTACTGCTTCTAAAAATAAGATCAGATGTAGTTCAAAGCTGACAAAAATGAACAACATCCCTCCAATGACACGCTAATGTAAAATTCATAGGTTTTACACCCGAATTTGAAGCACTTCGGGTTACTAGTTGTGATGAAAATTCTACATCTTTTTCCACACTTTTTTTGCTGGGTAGTTAGACAAAACTCAAAAAATGTTTGATAATTTTTTGCATTAATGAAATGTGACCCAAAACAGAATAACGGTACTGAATATAGAATGCCCTATTTTGCCCATTTTAACACCCTGAAAGGTTGGCAGTCGCTAAAGTACTTTACTAATACATATATTTAAAAATTTTGAGAGTTAAAACACAAATATTTCCACGTTAGAATTAAAAATTAACATTAGTTTTACCCGTTTTTCCCCCTTTTTTGCGACTTTCTGATCCTAGATAAAAAAGTGACGTTTTCATAGCATTATGTTCAATAATTTTAAAATTTAGAATTGCAAAATCTGACACTGTGAGGCGAAGAGAAAATTAGGTATATCAGCAAATAAATCCGCCACTTTTTTTTATCGATTATTCGATTGAATTTAATTTTTTAAGGAGATAAGTACCCTTGTATAATAAAAACAAAAAAAGTGTATTACTCACTTGGAAAATTAAATTGACACTTTCGCTAAGAGTTGTTTCATCTGGTGAATCTACAGGAATTTGTCTAGTAAATCTAGTATCAAATTGAGATACATCATCTTCACTGCGCTATAGAAATCATTTAAAATCAAACAAATTAGAATTTATAACAGAATCGAATGTGTGTAAAGTTATTTACCAATAGAGGTTTAATTGGTGGATCCAAACGTCTAGCAAGTACATCGTCCCAATTTACATGCTTAAAGAAGGGATGAGCCTGAACTGCTGCAGCATCTTCAGGGCCGCTACCTAAACGTTGGGACTCTTGTCGTTTCATTAACCGACGCACCAAATCTCTAGCTTCAGGTGTTAAATAAGCAGGCAAATTAAGTTTAGCTTTTAAAATAGTCTCTATTGTTTTTTTACGATCTTCTGCAGTGAAGGGTGGCTAGGATTTTAAAGGATAACTTATTATTTTGTTCAATAGATTTTATACGCACAACATTACTTACCACACCAGTCAACATGTCAAACATTAAAGCACCCAAGGACCACCAATCTACTGCTTTACCATGACCACGGCGTGTAAGAATTTCTGGAGCCCTATAAAAGTTAACAATTTTTATTAATGTTGTTCCACAGATTCGATTATTTTGTCTTACATATATTCTATGGTGCCACAGAAAGTATGTGTAACTATGCCTTCCTGTATATGTTCCTTGCACAAACCAAAATCTGTTAGTTTTACATGACCTTGAGCATCTAGCAAAATATTTTCTGGTTTTAAGTCACGATATATGATGCCTAATTTATGTAAATGACCCAGAGCCATTATAATTTCACTTAAATAAAAGCTATATTGATATCGAAAATAAATTAAATTAGTTATATTTAAATATTGCATTAGTTTAATTTGATCTTACCATGTTGTATCTTCTAGGAAAATACCTTCGCGTTCTAAATGCATAAATAATTCGCCACCACTTAAATATTCTAAAATCAAATATAATTTACCGTCCGTTTGAAAGGCATAAACTAATTCTACAATGAATGGATGTTTTACAGCTTCTAATATATTACGTTCAGCACGAGTGTGTGCTGTATCTTTTTGATTTGTGACTATTGAGGCTTTTTTCAAAACTTTCATGGCAAAATATTTATTAGCATCACGACCAGAAGTTTTGCGCACCTTAAATAAAAAAAACCAAAAAAAGCATTTGTAATTAATTTCATATTACGTATAAAGTACATTTGCAGAAACACATACCTGAAATACTTTGCCATAACCACCTTTGCCTAAAACTTTCTTCAATTCAAAATCTTTGGACCCAACTTAATTTTGCCAGGGTTTACATTTTCTTCTGATAATTGTATAGTTTCTTGTCCTTCCGCCCTAAAAAAGAGAAAATATTTTAAAATTGGAGTTCAATTTACAACAAAATAGGATTTTATTTGTTTCCATAGATTTGATACCAAACATTTTTTTATTTCAAATTAGTAGAAAAGACTCACGATTACACAGCAACAGGATTCTTTTTCAGTAGCAAAAAATATTGCAGAGGGTACTCTTTGCAAAAGGAAATGGGCACATAGCTTCTTATAGCTACCAAAAATTGCCCCGATATTGTACTTTGTAAATATGTTGAATTTAAAGGAGCCATAATACCATTTGTTATATTTCAATATTTCGCCCTAAGACCTATACAAGCGTGAATTTAGAAACACAACTTATCGTTTACAATTGAACTACAAATATCCCAGCAAAAAATAATTCATGTCATACTTTACAAACGACATCTTAATCACATCTAAAAAAGCGATTGCATATTTTTTGCTTTTATAAACCATACATATCCTTACAAATGAAAACACAGTTAAAGTGAGGAAAGAGATGTAGAAAAGTCACTTCAAACAACATATTTGAAGTACTTCAAATTTTGATGAAAAACCAATGAAATTTACATAAGCGTGTCATTGAAAGAATGTGGATTATTTTGACATACAAATATTGAATTTTTACAGCTTCTAAAGATAAGATTAGATGTAGTTTAAAGTTGTCAAAAATGAACAACATGCCTCTAATGACACGCTAATGAAAATTCATAGCTTTTTCACCTGAATTTTAAACACTTCGGGTTACTAGTTATGATGAAAATTCTACATCTTTTTCCACACATTTTTTTGCTGGGATTAGAATCGTTTTAAAATTAGTTTTTTGTCAATAAATCTCTTTAATATCTATTTATTAAATTAAAATCCGATGTATGAAGGTGCTCCATTTAAAAAAATTCAATTGTTTTATAAAATTCTATACACTGCGCTTCATGACATGAGATATTTACTCTTACATTTGAATTTCTTTATTAATGCCATCTAAGTCCAGAAAAATATTGGAAAAATCTAGGACGTCAAATTTTTATAATTATTAATTAAAAAAGGAAATGTTTAAAAAGCGTTATTTGGAGGAAAGGAGAAAATGCTAAAAGCGATATTTGGAGGAAAGGATGATGAAAAATTAAATCCCTAGAATAATTTCATGAGGATTGGTCCACAATTAACTTTACGTATTTGTCAATAAATCATTTCAAAATACATATTATTCGACTAAATTGAGGCTCTCAAATATTAATATCAATATGTATTATAAGATGTATTCTGAAATAAATGAATAAATATAGGGTTTTCAGTATTTTGCACATGTTTAGGTTTGTGGGTATAGCACTGTGCAATAATTGAAGAACAAAATGTTTTATTACTTACTCCTGTTGTAAATTTATGCTTAATTCTGGTTCCAAGTCAACCTAAAAAGGAACAAAAAAATATGTATTAGCAATTATATATCATTATAATAACATTTTAAGTACATTTTTTAAATTTCTTCAAATGTCCACAAAAATGGACTCGTCCGACAAAAATTTCAGTGACAAAAAACAATAGGCACTATCTAAAAAAACATTTAAATACTAAAAATAAAAGTTCAACTTATCCACTTTTATATACGCCATTGTCAACTATTTTAGCAAATGATAGTTTTTTCTTTTAAAAGTTTGTTTATTTCAGGGACGTAACGGTTATAAGAAATATGACGAAAAGGAAAAAATAACAATTATTTTCGGTCCATAGTTTATTTAATAAATAAATTTCGTTGATAGAAACAAACGTTTAATAGTTTTCTGCCGTTTGCGTTTTAGGTGACGATATGTATATTAGGGTTATAACTTTTAAAAATATCAAAAATATCATAACAAGACTTTGTAGGGCATGAACACACATATGTTACGGAATATATTACTTTTTGTAATCATGAAAAAAGTTCCCGCACCAAATGCGATGAATTTTTATACGAATATTACTTTTTCTAAATTAGAAAATAAATAATTTTGCCAACAATTTTGCATTTTTGTTACATAATCTTAAAGAAAATTTGTTCATTACACCCTAATACGGAATTTTTATTAAATCGCTATATATTGCATATTTAGATAATAGTATACATCTATGTACATTAGACCGACTCACAAAAAATAGTGCTTGAGTTACCCCCGTCAAAATATTCGCTGTTATGTAATATGATGTTACCCAAAATATTTTGGGGTTAGTGTTGTCCATTCGTGAGCTGGACAGTTTTCAGAAAATATCCAATGGACACGATTTTTTATGTTCAATTCAAAATTTACCCAGCTTCAAAAAATCTTTGTTTTGTTTTATGATGGTTCCCAAAATATTTTTTAGTCTAACGATGGACGTTCGTGAGCTGGACCGGTTACAAAAAATACCTTTTTTAAATTTGGTCCAGCTCACAAACGGACATCGCTAGACTTAAAATATTTTGGGAATCAACATAAAACAAAGCAAGGTAAATTTTGAGAGGGGTAACAAAAACACGTTTATGCTTTCCATACAGAGTGAGTCGGTCTAATGTACATATATTGAAATATAATTAAAATTATTTTAGTAAAAATAACTAACAAAAGAATTAGAAGTTGCTTTGGGTGCGGAAATTGCTTTCGCCAAATTGTCCTTAAAAATATATATTTATTATCAGGAGAGTATTGGCTAAATGGTAACGCAGTGGTATATTGGCGCCCCAATTCCCCTAATCTATCTGTCTGTCTATCTATGTACCTATCTATATATCTATCTATCTATCTATCATATCTATCTATCTATCTATCTATCTATCTATCTAATCTATCTATCTATCTATCTATCTATCTATCTATCTCTATCTATCTATCTATCTATCTATCTATCTATCTATCTATCTATCTATCTATCTATCTATCTATCTAATCTATCTATCTAATCTATCTATCTATCTATCTATCTATCTATCTATCTACTATCTATCTATCTATCTATCTATCTATCTATCTATCTATCTATCTATCTATCTATCTATCTATCTATCTATCTATCTATCTACATAAATAAATAATACATAAATACAATATTGTTTGTTCATAAATTTTATGTTAAATTTTATTTTAATATCATTATATACAAACAATAAGTTAACTTTTTAATTTATTACGGTCAAAACATTCTCGGAACAAGTAGAACATATGAACAAAATTCAACCCACTGACTGCTGTTAGGCCCTTTTATTTTTAAAAGAATTCGAATCAATTTTAGAACCTCAATATTTAAAATTTGGAAGTGTTGCAAACTTGCAACGCCCTGTTATATTTTTGGGTGACGATAAGGAACAAATAACGGCTTTTTCTATTTATAAACCTATCTTTCTAGACGTGTTTATATTCAAACCCTTAACTTTGTTTGAATATTAGAGTGTAATTATAAAACGATAACAAATTTATGTTTTACCTTTTGAAATAATTACTTTTTAATGATTTACAACAGGTATTATTTTGAAATATTGATAAGTTAAGTAAAAAACAAGTAAGAGTGCTATATTCGGCAGTGCCGAATCTTATATACCCTTCACCATAGTGTATTTAAAAAATATCAATTTTATAAAATTTTAATTTATTTCATTTTCCCTACTATATCATTATTATAGCAATAGCAAAACACACAAAAAACAAAATACACAAAGCAGGCAAACCAGTAGCCATCCAAACATACGAAACGAATACACAAAAAAACAAAAACAAAATACACAACGTAATGAAACCAACAGACATCCAAACATACGAAACCGAATACACCAAGAAACAAAAACATATACACAAGGCAATGAAACAAACAGCCATCGAAACATACGAAACGAAATAATCAAAAAAACAAAAACAAAATACACAACGCAATGAATAAGCAGTGTTGTTGTTGCTTATTTTTTATGAAATTTTTAGAGGTTGTCTCGGATTTTTGCTTATATCTCCGTTGTTTATGGACGGATTTTGCTGATTTTTAATAGTAAACTTCTCGAAAGCATGTCTGATAGAATTATTGAAGATTTGGATCCCGAAGATATCTGGGGTCTTCAGAAAACTGATTTCAACAGACAGACAGACGGACATGGCTTAATCGACTCCGCTATCTATAAGGATTCAGAGTATATATATTTTATACTATATATTTGGAAATTACAAACGGAATGACAAACTTATATGTATATACCCTTCCTTACGAAGGTGAAGGGTATAAAAATTAATGAAATCTTGTGGTTATATTGGCATTACGAAATTGTTAGTATGTATTTTTAATACATATTTATGTATAAATAGTATATACATGTATATAAAGATAAACAAAAAACTTAATTAACATATTCATCATAATTTATAGCGTTCGTAATCTAAATACGATTACTCTACAAACTAATAACATCAACAATAGTCCCTATGAAAAAGGCCACAACAATTTCAATAATACAAATCAATATAATACATAAGGTGGTACATAATAATAACATAACGTCGGTAGCATTTATAAATCTGCGTCCATATGAGTTCGCACATACCAATTGATCAAAATTAATAACCTGTTGAAAATAAAAACTAATATAAAAAAGATCAACTTTGATAATATCTAAATGAATATTGTAATCATATATAATAGAATATACTTGGAGCTACTAAAGTCAGTTCAAAACTATGTACATAGATTTTTTTATATAATCTTTATTACAGACCATATGTTAATATTACGATGTGATTTATTGTCTAGCTACAATGCATATTATAATGAATATCAATATTGAATGTTGTATATAAAGTTAATAACAAATACACTTTATGCTAAAATGTTCATAATTTTAATATTGATTGGTTATTATGGCAAACAACATTTTATACATACAGTGTCTCTCATAAGTATTCGAATTTAGGTAAACTATGAAAAGAAACCAAATTTAATAATATATTTTGTGTGGGAAATAAATAAATAAATTTGTTATATTGTCTAGATAGTCTTTAGTTTTGATATCACGCCCCTTAAAACTTGAAAACTTTACATTTACTTAAATTAGTTATGCTTTTTTAAAAAAAGTCCATGAAACTACTTCACAAAAGTATGCGAATTTTTCCT